AAGTGGCGAGTCATCCAGCGCAGAGGGCACGACCACCGTGACTAAGCTACCTATCGTTTTCAGGTATGAACGGAATGTGTTGTTGTTGTTTGGAATCGGAGGGGAAGCACCAGACATAGTAGCACGTTGCCCGGCTTCTCGCTTTCCGCTGGTCAATCTATGAGCTTAAGTTGAGCGGACCCCTGTCACTACATTCATGTCGAAAGCCAATGCCACGGGTATTTACTCGAGTAATATTGCTATGAACCGATCATTGTCATACTTCATCTTCGCTACTCTTCTCGTGCGATTATTGTCCTGCCGAGGCAAATGCTACGGTTACCACCGCCACTGCCATTGCAACTACCACCACCATTCTACTCTGCTATAGTGAACCCGAACAAGTTGGACACCGGATTAAGGACAATTCGTGCTGGGATTCCCTATACATGACTCTTAAGGATGGAGGCTATCGGGTTTCCAAGTTTGGGGCTTGCACTGCACTACTACTACCACCGCCACTACCACCACCAGCACCACCACTACCACCACCACCGCCAGTACAACTGCCGCTAGTATTACCACAGCCACTAACTGCTGCTTCTCCTCCTCCTCGGACTGCTGCTACTACTACTACTGTTTCTACTGCTACTACTGCTGCGATTGCTGCGCTGCAATTGCTGCTAAAAACTGCTACTGCTTCTGCTACTCTTGCTCTTACTACTTCTACTACGACGACGAGTACTACAACTACAACTGCTGTTTTAGCTCCGGGTGGTGGCAAACGCGAGTCGCTGCTTCCCTGAGGACTGATGCTTGTCCGTTTTCCTTGGGCAGCAAGTGCCAAGAGCGCGCAGGTAAGTGCATCGGAAGATCTGTGCCACGACTCGAGTGCATGCCATGTCGGGACTAATTGTGCTTTGAGGGTTGAAGGTTATAAGCTATGGGTTTCAGAGTTCAGGGTCTTGTTCATGCGGCGATTCTTGTCATCTTCGTCACCTAGCTTCTTATGACCCAAGTTTCTAGCTGCTCCAGTTCTGGACCATTCGGCGCCGTGGGCCCTGAAGCCATCAGAAACGAGCCTTGACTGTTGAAGTCCAAGAACCTTGGCACTCTTCGGTGTTCGGTCCACTTTATGGTTTTGACATTGGAGGTCTGAGGTTAGGCTTGGGGTTTTAGGGTTGGCGGCTCTTGGCTTTGTGGACCAGCTCGACGAACGATGAAAAGCTTGCTCTTTGAGCCAACCAGGCGCCCCACATACATCGGTAGATTCCCCACGGCCGAAAGCCCGAAAGCTATGGTTTAAGTTTCTTTTTTGCAGGTCCTTCTGCACCGCCTGCGTGGAATTGGCATCTTCTTGTGCCAGGGATATGGGACAGTTAAGCAGGTGAGCTGCACAGCCTAGAGCTGCAGGGATTTCAAGAGGGTTCAGGCCAAGCCGCGACTGCTTTCATGCCCATATACAGTGGCTACATGGTGATGTTAGTTTTATTGCTATACTGTACCCCGGAACCGAGTAGGAATCCTAACTATAAGGCTCCTATATTACCTGGTACATAACCTTGACTTGACCTCAGAGCTGTTCTCGGGAGCATGTATATTGCTTTCTGTGCAGATCAGCGTGAACACAAGCACCTGCAAGTTTGACCCTCGCAGTGGATAGCACTTGCACAGATGCCCAATGTCAAAGACGAGGAAATCCAGAGCAGAAGACAACACACACAGTTAGCAGGACAGCTAAGCCCTGAACCCTATCTGCCCTGCCCCATAAAACGCCTTTCGGCGCATAGGAGCACACGATAGAAGAGACACTGACGAGAGCGGCGGCATGTAGATGGCCTTGTGTTGTGTCGTGAATACGGAAAGATCATCTAGGAGTTCCCAGGAAGCCCAACCTACGGCTTAAAACAAGGAAGATACCTCCTCATTTATCGTTGTATTTAGTTAGTTCTGTATTTGTGTATAGATATAGATACATAGAGGTAAAAGGGGCTTCTTATTATGAACAAAGCTAGGTCTGATTAATGAAGCATTGCCAGCACTAGATCACACGATGGTTGTGAGAAGAGAACGGATAATTTGGCTCTTGCACAAACATGCAAACCACTGAAAAGCTAACGAAGCATCTCAAAATCAACGGGCTGGATAGCTTGTTAGATGTTTGGAAAGCTGTCATACCTCATGAAACATGAAAAAAGGGGCGCAGTGTGATGTGGGGCCAAAGTCGTGGCTGGCCTGCCTCCCGTCCGGGAGCTCCCCAAAGATCAGGGAAGGCTCCTATGCAGCTGCAAGTGATGTCCCATGCATTGGGATCGCAGTAGACCCGCAAGCCTGCGGCCACAAGGTGTAGGCGTTGGTCGTGCGATGGCCACATTGAGAACCTAGCGCAAAATGACTAATTAGGATTCTCCAGGGCCGGAGAAGTGCTAGCGTGACATCCAGATGCCGGTACAGCGCAGATGCCATCGACAGAACGGCAGGCTACACAAGCAGAGCAGTTGTCAGACAAAGACCTGCCACGACTTCTAGAACGCTTGAAGTATGCACTGAAGGTTTTCCAAACAGGCCGAAAGACCTACGTCTTGCATTAGATTTCCCGAGTTTCAATTAGGTTTCCTGCAGAGACTTGCGAATGTCCAGGATGCCTGATCTTTCTGGAAGTCCTCCGGCATCTATTCAAGGAGCTATTCAACTGTATTGAAACTGCACTGACACGGATCTGTGCGTGGATTTTTGCGTTTAGGCTTCAGGAGGGACCTATGATGCCTCGTACTTTTGGTGCGACTGCTGCGGTTACAATGATTACTTGAAATCTCAGACTGCCAGAGGGTTCAGATACCTGGCTTAGCATGGAATTCAGCACACACAGGCTGATGAATTGTCTGCTGAGCAGAAGACTAGTCGGCACCCCGCTCTAAACTGGTCAGTCCGCAAGCACCAAAGTGAAGCCATGAAGCTAAACGCTGATAAATAGAAAGCCTTGCGCCCAACTCGCCCAACCCTACCCCGCAGCACCCGAAAGTCCCTGGCGCCGAGATTCTGCTTTCTGTGGGACGGTGTTAGGTCAGTGTGGTACGCTGCACGGGCTGCACCCTGCTAGCCCTGTGCTAAGCGCTCGAACTTTTGATACCAGCAGTGATCAGACCGAACGCCGGCTCAACACGAGCTTGTAAAGAGAAAAGCAGGACTCCCGAGGTTAGGGCTTAGGGTTTTAGGGGGGTTTTGAGACTCTGTAAAGCGGCTTGAAGGTTCTCGGGGCTGAAGGCCTCAAAGGTTTAGGGGGATTAAGGGTTTGTTTAGGAGCTTAAGGGCTTGAAGTTTGTGCAGGTTCGAGGTCCCAATGTAGGCCAGTTGGGGTCAGCATGCAGACAAATCATGTTGGCCAGGTATTGTGATGCATCCACAAAAGGATTGCGATCTTTGTTTCTTCCGAGCGGAGCATTGTAGCATGGTTTCCCAACGCCCATTTGTAAGAGCCGCTGATGGCTCAGTCATAGAGATTAGGAGAGATCCCGTGTCCAGAGCACAAGCACAAACAATGTACAGGATCAACATATGTGTGCGCAAGTAGCACGCAGAAAAAGCAAGCTGCAAAAGCTGATAGTACCGCTCCGTCTTCAAGCACCAACACCATGAGAGCGGATGCCGCAACAAGCCTCAATCAGCAGCCATTGGTTCCGTCATCGCTGGGAAGTAGAATCAACCCAGAGACTCCAATATTCCTTAATTAAGGAATATTCCTTAAATTATAGTAGGCGCCTTAATATGATTTAAGGTATATTCCTTAATTAAGGGATATTGGAGTCTGGGGAAACCCTTGATCGGGGGCTGAGACAAAGGGTTGCAGCGGTCTCTCGTGTTGGAGACATCTGCGCCACAATTGTGGCAGTGTTTCTGGTTCTACAATCACTACTCTTAACCCTACAACAACCCCGAAACTGACATGGGGGTTTCCGAAAATAGGGACCCTAATATAGTACCCTAAATAGTAGGATCCTTATCATAAGGACCCCCAAAAAGGTCCTCCTTATTTTCGGAAACCCCCACATAGGGCGGTGCAGTCGGAGAGTGCGAGGTGTGGTCAGCCTGAAGTCGGGCCTGCAGTACAAGGTGCATTCCTGGCGAGATCGGTGCGACCTGAAAAATCGACGGTACCACTATATGGGTGCTTGTCAAAATTAAGGTCCCTTTGGGGGTACCCTAAATAAGAAGTGCTGTATTATAATAAGGACCCAAAAAGGGACCATAATTTTGAGAACCACCCATATGACTACATCTTGAAATATGTGGGCTGCCTCATATGGCTTTCATTCACTGCGCGGTATTTTCCTGAATGACTGTGTTTTGGGCTCTGCAGGCTGTGCTTCACACAGAATTGATGCGATGGTTTCATCATCTGCCTTTGGCTAGCAAGCAGTCAAACCGTTCTCCAGAGTCAAGAGTGCTTTACTCACAGCAGTTCCTGCTGTGTCTCATTCTTGGGTTAACGTTGCCATTGGAATCCATGACTCCTCACTGGCTGAAACTTCCATACCCAAGTTCTCTGATAGAGAAGCTCACCATATCATGACCACTCGTCACTGCCGCCAGGACTTGGTTCTCCAATACCTAACCCTTAAACTTTTTGGGCTCTTATAGTTTAGTAGTAATCTGAAAAGTTTAGCCTTTTATTTTCCGGCTGTTTGGGGAAGTAAGAGGATCAGGGGTGGAATCTTAAACCCAGAGTCGTTTTGTCATGGGGCCAACATAACTCCGGAGGAGGCTTTTGGGTTCGAAGTCTATTCCTTGAGTGGCATCATGATGCTAATACAGGGGCCTAAGTAATTACCCATAATATTGTTGGGGGTTCCTTCTTATGATTATAGTATAGTTTACCCCCAAAAACCCTATTCTATTTTTTTTTATCAAGGTCCCTATACTAAGGCAACCCAGCATTCCCTTAAAGAAGTGTTGTGCCTCCTACCTCCGATCCAGATAAGTTTGGTTTAGGGTTTAGGGTTTAGCGTCTCCGCGTTTGTCAGGTGCTCAAAAAGGGCGAGGGCAAGTTCCATCCGAAGAAGGCGACTCGCCGAGAACCATAAACCATAAACCCTAAACCCCAAACCCCTAAACCCCTAAACCCTAAACCCTAATCTCCTAAACCCTAAACCCTAAACCCTAAGCAAAGGGCTGAGGGTTTAGCCTCTTTGCCCCATCGGGCTTCAGCATGTCATGGCCAAGTTGGGGTCCTTTCGAAATCCTCCAAAACGCCTTACTAACTAGAATAGCGTCTTGGGGTGGTAGATTATAGTATGTTACTATAATTATATAGTAAGGAACCGACAATAACTAGAATAGGGTTTTAGGGGGGTAGATTATACTATGTTACTATCTAATTATATAGTAAGGAGCCGACATAAAGGTTAGGGGTTAGTAGCGAGACTCAGGAGTGAAGTTCTTAAGCTCAACTGGCAGGGACAAATCGCCTGAGCCTTGCCAAGGGTGCCTTGCGAACAGAAGCACACTTCACGGAAGCTCGTATTCGTAGCAGAGTTGCAACGTCCAGGATGTTGGAGCAAAGGGGTCATGTGCGGCTCGTTGAGTGTAGGTTTTGAGTTCGCAGAACCCTTGTCCATCTTCGTCACCGTGCAGAGCCGCTTGACACCCGATTCGCTATAAAGCCCCAGCTCCAGTTCCCTGGTCGCAGCAAGGATACAACCTGCAGCTGCCACTACGTGGCAGCCTCAGTGTCGTGGAACATGAGTCTCAACGCGCCCGTTCTCTTCTGCGAAGCTGGAATCCGGCCCTTTCGACTGGTGTTTGCCTCTCAGTTCGAGGTCAGGATCGCTAGATAGTGAAGTGAGGTCTCACATGGGTTTGTGAATGTGAGGAAGCGTTTCGCAAATAATGAACCTGGATCCAGCTTATCAAAAATAGTTTTTGGCTGTCGACATTGCACGGGCTTGGGTTCACGGTGGATGCTTAAAGCCCAAGTCTCGAAGATTGTGGGTTTGTTAGACTCGGGCTCCCAGCCCAAGCTATCCGTGTCGTTCAACACCCTAAGCCCTAATGGTGCGTATTGTTTCAAAGCAGGCCGGCACCACCCTCAGTCTCACACCCGACGCCATCAACCTGCCAGAGGATCAGTGGTCGGAGTGCGGGGCCCCAGCTTGCATCATGTGCTCGGTTGCCGCGAGATGTAATAGAACAGAAGTGTGTCTGTGTATACGCATGTATAAATCTATGCATGTATGTATGTATGTATGTATGTATGTAGGTTTGTGCGTACTTACGTAATTTATGTATGTAGATATGTGTACATATATGTACATGCATCTCATATGTATACACATATTGTACAATATAGGTATACAGGTATGCGGATTTGCGATTATATGCGTGTATATGGATGTATAGATGTAAGATACGTGCACAAATTCTTCATGGTGTGCACACAAGGTTGCATGTATGTTTGCTGACATACATACGTACGTACATACGTGCCTGCCTACCTCCTATCCCACACACCCACGGACAAACATACCTACATAACATCACCTAACGTAGCAATACACAACGCGGTATACCATCACATGACATATCGTAGCATACAGTGGCATCACGCGACAAGACATGACATTCCATTGCCTTGTGTGCTGCACACAAGCATATGGTCCATGTGTATATAGCATAGATTACTGCGCTTAATTATTTGTTAGTTCATTCGCCCAACCTGAGCATGCATACACAATTCAGTAGCTTCAACAACCAAGTGTGCATAGTTTAACGTACGCACGATGTGTATGTGCATACGCGAGTATAAGACATGCAGGTATTATTCCGTCTCCTATATGCATATACATACCTACAGTTTCGAACCCAACCAGCCCTGCAAGCGGAATTACAAAACAAGCCACGCGTCTTCGCTGTTGGCTGGGGAGTTATTTAGAGATCCTGAAAGCCCTGAAGCTTGGAGGTTGATTCCCTTGCGGCACTCCGTTGATGCACGTTTGGTTCGTTTTTGAGTAAGCTGTTTTGAGTTTCTATCCAGGGAGGAGGCGAGCCGGAGTTCAAGAAAGCTTTGAGCGAAATTTCGCCAGGGAGCATACCTTGAGCTCCCATCATCGGTATACCCGGCGCTGCTATCTCTACAACACCGCAGCTGAGATGCGATGAGAGTCTCGAGTCGTGACTTGCTTCCGGCCGATGTCGTGAAGGGCAGTGCACGAAACGATGGCCAGACACACACACACACACACACACATATATATATATATATATACAATTATATATATCTATATATACACACACATATATATATATACACACAGCCGCTACTTCGACCGAGGTCTGGTATTTGAACCGAAGCAGCGCCTTCCCAGAGACTGAGCCTACCACGAGAGAGCATCCCAGGTTTGACTCCTCGTACAAGCGAGGAGATCCTACAGATTTCGCTCCGAATCAGGTGCCACGCCTCCTTTTGCTGGGTTCTGGCTTAAGGAGCTTGGTTTAAATGACCGTTATACGGAACTCTACTTGGGGGGATCATGTCAAAAATAAGCTCTGGAACTCTGCAACCCCGTTTAGTTTGTTTATGGCTGCGCCCCGATGGTCTCTCCCCCCCTCCCCGATGGTCTGTTTGCTCAAGTACCGTCCTGTAACCCTAAACCCTACACTCTTGCCTCCCCTTTTTTCCCTTGTGGCAGCTTCAGCTTCTTCGTACGTGATCCATTGCTCCCTGCTTTCACCTCCGCCGCGTAGTGCTCATGCTAATGTAGGGGCCTAAATAATTACCATTACTATTTTGGGGTTCCGTATCTTAATTATAGTATAATGGGCCCACAAACCCCAATTCTAATTACTAAGGCCCCTAAACCCTAAACCCCTATAGTTGCCCTATAATTAGAGCCCTTTAAAGGAACCCAAAGTAACCCCCCAAAACCCTAATTCTAATTACTAAGGCCCCTATTTTACATGAATTATAGGCATTGGAACGTGAGAGATGGGAGTTTCCGGAAATTAGGGGTACCTTATTTTAAAGTCCTTATATTAAGGATCCTACTATTTAGGGTACTATACTAGGGTCCCCTATTTTCTGAACCCTAAACCCTAAACCCCAAAACCCTAAACCCTAGAACGCGAGAGAAATGGAGCCAGCTCGCCTGAGAGGTCATCAAGGGCTGGACGGAAGCAATGCAGCTCATGGCCTGGGCCTTGGTGGGTTTTAGGGTTTAGGGTTTAGGGTTTAGGGTTTAGGGTTTAGGGTAGGGTTTAGCAACCGGGCTCTGCACCTTGGGTGCAAGGACAGGGTTCGAAGACATAACTCCTGATGAAGAAGTGAGTTGACAGTTTGGGATGGGTTATCATGCTGTCAACGGAACCCAAGTGCGAGGAGAGCGCCCGGACGCTCCATGATTCTCACATCGCTCCTTTGCAGGTAGAGGGTGACAAGTGGGAGCTCTACATCCCCTCCAAGCTCGGCCTAGCCCCAAGGACTAAGGGATGATGTTCAATCGAGCCTGCCAGAAGTCAAAAGACCGGCCTACTTTTAAAGCAAGATTTCTTGGCAAGCCGAGGCTATGGGGATGGCGGCAGTGGTCCCAAGATCAATGGCCATTAGCTGAGTCGTCGATTGCAGACAAAGAACGACCTAATCTGAGACTGGGCTGGACGACGGCTTTGCGAGCGGATGCCAAAAGAAGACGGTCGGTGTGAAGACCTCCACAGAAAGTTGGCGACCAACAGTCTTGCGTTTTGATTCGGACAAACCGTGTAGTTTTCTTAACTTGGCAGTTTTATGTAGACAGCCCCAACCTATTTGGAGGCTCAGGCTACTTGTTAGTCAGCACACACTCACTTCTGATCCTTGAATTTTTACTAGTTTAGTAACCTTACTAGTAACCTCTGGTAAAAGCACTACACTGAACATGGCCGGATGATCCTGGCACTGAGTGCCCAGGTGGCGAGATGCTGATCTTCAGGATGGAGATGCTGAAGATCGTGGGCGCCGGTGCGGGCCCCCGGAGAGCTGGAAGAGTGGGGGTTGAGGGGAGATGCAGACTCTTGGGTTCAGGGTGTATAGGGTTTATAGGTTTATAGGATTTATGGCCTGTATAGGGCATAAAGGGCTTATAGGGTTTAATAGGGTTTAGGGTATTGGATTTGGGGGGACGTTCCGGATTCGATTTCAAATAATTCGGGAATGTTAGAGCTTCGATTGGTCGGCGTTTGTACACTACTGAATTCATTATTGCACAGTGCTTTAAGCTTGCCGTCTGTGGACTGAAGGTGATGTTCTTCCGGAACTGGAGACCGGGATAAATGTCGGACGGTCCTTGCATGTGTGCTGTTAGGATGCTATGGCGGCGTGACATCCTGACCTTGTGCAGCAGCACACCTAAGCACACTCCAGCCTGAGCCGCTGTCTCCACCCTATTTACCTTCATGTGCTTACGTGACTTCCTCTTCTCAGAGACTTGCGTGAGGCCTTACTTGCGCGAGTTGGAAGAGTAGAAATGAATAGATCCTCAAACGTTTACGTTTGAGGATTTACACTCTCACAACTCGGACAATCCAGGCGAGGTCTATCGGGCGAAGTCGACGCAAGTAAGACGCATAGCCGGGGATGGCTGAGTTCCGGTTCTGACGGTATCCAGTCGCAAAGCTTCTGAAGCACATGTAGGGTCGGGGGGGTTGCCATGCCCTCATCGAAAAAGCATTCTTTAGCAAGGAAATTCGTCAAATTAGAGTAGGGTAGCCCACTTAGTAGTAGCACAGGTACCCTTTAACCTCGTTGGGGTATTACAATCCCTATATCATCATTTAAAGGTTACCCTTTAGTTCCCCTAGGATACTGGACAAGAAAAGCTCAAGTACATGGGGAGATCTGGGATCCGTAGAAGATCCGATGCCGGGGCTCCATCTGGGAGTTTCCTAAAATAAGGGGTACCTTATATTGGGGTCCTTATAATCAAGAAGGATCCTACTATTTAGGGTACTATATTAGGGTCCCCTATTTTCGTAAACCCCCCCATATGTTCAGAGTTCAGAGGCTCCTGTAAGCTTTGAGCGGTTTTCGGAGAGCCCACATACCCCTTGATGAAGGAGTTTATACCTCAACTCGTAACATGAAGCCCTGGGCAGTTTACGTTTTCCCCGGAATTAAGTCCCTGAGCCCTAAGCCCTGAACCCTAAACCCTGAACCAAAGAAGCCCTAAACCCTAAACCCTAAACTTCCAAACCCTAAACCCTAAACCCTGAACCCTGGGCTTGGCCAGGCAAGGTGCGGGCCGCCAAATGTGATCTCAAGACTCGCGAGAACTGCGAGTGCTCGCGCCCAGAATCGTTTACTATAGGAGCCTACATAATTACAGTACCAATATTGATATACTATGTTGAGGGGGCTCCTTATTATCATTAGAGTATATAGTATACCCCAAAACCCTTTCTAGTTACTTAAGGCTTCTATGTTACGTAAGGCTTCGGGCCTCGAGTTCGAACCCGCAACCCTGAACCCGAGCTGGGGTTTGGGGCAGAGTGGGGGGTTCTTAGTTTCGAGATTGCGTCGATAGTGTTACTATGCTATCTGCTGCTGCATAAGGGCTGGGAATTTGGCGGTCCATGTCCATCAGGTTTTTCAAGCGAAGGGTACCGTCTTTAAAACGCACGAAGCGGACATCTGAGATTGTGCGGTAGGTCGCTTACTTGTTTTTACCAGAAGCCGCGAGCGTACTCTATGGCATCTGGTAGAAACCCGTTGGCCAGTGCAGTGTCTTTTGCATTGCTTTTGAACTTCTGCTCCGACGGAGCTAACGGATCCAGCACCACCGTCTCGCATTGCAGAGGGCTCAAGACCCGGGGTTTGTGTACTCACCCGGGACTGTCGCTCCATGGGGAAGAAGAGGCAGCCGCTTGGGCCGCACGAAGAGCCTTGACATTCGCCCACGGGCTCAAGCAGGCGTCCTTGAACTCCGACATCATAAAGATCTGCACTGGGCATTCAGCTTCTAGAGCCCACCAGTCAATCTGCCAGTGAACCGAGAGACCTCGTCTGGCGAAGTTCGAGTTAAGAGAGCGTAAAGATCTGCTCTGAATCGACCCCACACCTGCAGCCCAACAAAGCTTCCCAAGACTCTGAGATTCCACGTATATCTGAAATTTCGAAAGTCTATGTAAGTCGACCTGTAACCTAGTTCTGGGAAGAACAGATAAAAGCTTGGTGCAGTATGCTGATGACATCGTCTGGTCACTAGACTAAAGTCAGACGTGGTACTCGACATCGCGGCAGCTGCCGCAGGATGCCGAGCAGGAGGAGGAGAAGCAGGATAAGCAGCAGCAGTGGTAGCAGCAGCAGCAGCAGCAGCAGGAGGAGGAGTAGTAGTAGTAGTAGTAGTAGTAGTAGCAGGAAGTAGTGGTAGTAGTGGTAGTAGTGGTGGTAGTAGTAGTAGGAGTAGTAGTAGTGGTAGTAGTAGTAGTAGTAGTAGTAGTAGTAGGAAGAGGAGGAGTAGGAGGAGGAGTAGCAGGAGTGGAAGTAGTGGTGGTAGTAGTAGTGGTGGTGGTGGTAGTAGTAGTAGTAGTAGGAGTAGTAGTAGTAGTAGTAGTAGTAGTAGCAGTAGTAGTAGTAGCAGGAGGAGGAGGAGTAGTAGTAGTAGTAGTAGTAGGAGTGGTAGTAGGAGGAGTAGTAGTAGTAGTAGCAACAGCAGGAGTAGGAGTAGGAGTAGGAGTAGGAGTAGGAGTAGTAGTAGTAGTAGTAGTAGTAGTAGTGGTAGTGGTAGTAGTAGTAGTAGTAGTAGTCTGCTACTGCTACTGCTACTGCTACGGCTACTCCTACTCCTACTCCGACTCCTACTGCTACTACTACTACTGCTGCTGCTGCTGCTGCTGCTGCTGCTGCTGCTACCACTAGTGGTACTAGTAGAGTACTAGTAGAGTACTATTAGTAGTATTAGTAGTACTAGTAGTAGAGTATTCGTACTCCTAATAGTACAATCGACGGTTCATGCCAAGGTACGGCGATGACGAGCCGGCGCCCAGGGGGCCGCCAGGCGGCGGCGGCGGTGGAGGCGGTGGTGGTGGCGGTGGCCGGCCGCGACCAGGCACTTGGGAGGGATGAGGTGGGTGCATGATCATTTGTAGGAAGATTTTTCTGTACCTGCCCCGTCTTATGGCACTTTGCGATCACGTGAATTTGCCAGTTCAGCTGGTCAACATCATAAAAAAAGACAAAGAAGGAGTAGGGTGGGTGAAGGTGGTAAGAACCAGCTCAGAGTAGGACCGACAGGTGCTGCAGATCTTGAGGGTGTTGGGCTTTCGAGGTTGGGTGTGCCGTGTGACCGAATCCCCTGGCATGGTCTGATTCAGGGTTTGAGGATCCGGTTTGCTTGTGGTCTTCAGCGCCATGTGGGTGTTTGCACTTGGTGGTTCTCTCAGTCACTGGGCAAAAGAGCACGACTCCTCGCTGATCTCGACATTTCGAATGGCCCAATGGCCGGGGGAAAGGTTTCGGGAAAGCAAGCGTTCCCGAACCCCACGGGCCCAGGCCATATTCGTAGGCTCCAAAGGTGCCAAACATGAATGAAGTGCACTTGGACTGGCCTGACTACAGGCATCCTCGACGATGACGATATCCCACGGCCCAAGAAGGTGAAGCCGCTTCGGCACAAAACAGGGTGGAGGGTGCATGCAGGCCTTGAGCGATTTAGGCCTGGAGGGTTTAAGAAATGCAGAAAGAGTGACAGGTTCCGGGTTGAGGCTTTTCTGCATCACAGCGACGGCAGTTCCGGGCGAGAGAAGCCTGCTTCAAAAGGCTTTAGGGATAGGCGCGTCCGGTTTGAGAAGCATCCTCTCGTTCTCTCGTGTTGCAAACTTCCTAGCCCTAGCCAAGATCAGGCAAATCACATATTTGTCGAAAGACAACCCTGAACGCGCAAGTAAATCGCCGTTTGCCCTTGCGGCCGCCAGTGTGCATTGTATCGCCCAGGGCACAAGAACATCACCAACTACCTATATAGGCCCCATAGTAGTTCCTTTTGGGGATTCCCTAAAAGGATTCTAAATATGAACCCAAAAAGGAACTACTTTAGGGCTTATATGGGTAGATGCAAGCAGAGCAACAGGAAAGGCCAAGACGCTGAGGCCGCAAAACTTGGAGAAGCTCTCGGTGGAGGAGCTCCACCAGCGGAAGCATGACCTGAAGCAGGAGGACATGGGTTTAGGGTTTATAGGGTTTAGGTGAAGCAGGAAGACCCCGAAAGCTCCAGCTCGGAGTGGTAAGGTGTGTCCCTTCAAGGTTTGTTCTGGGCAGGTGATACAGTTATACATGACATCATGTGATGTACGAAACTGTCCGAAGTTTCTCCCAGGCCGGCCAGGGCTGTGAGGCTGTGCGTAGGGACTAGCGGCAGTGCTCTTCGACAGGAGAATTACCAGAACATGGTCATGTCCAAGAAGAAGCGTGGCCCGTACAGTGCCAGCCGCATGCCCGCAGACCTCAGCCGGGAGTGACTGAGGTAGGTGCTAAGCTTGGCGCACTTCCTATGTCAAGGGTCTCCACAGAGGCACACAAGGCCAGTTACAAGAAGACCTCCATTTAGGTATAGGGGGTGTAGGGCTACTTGTGTTTTGTACTCCCAGAAATTCGCATTCCTCATGCGAGTAAGTGGTCTCAAGCTCCCGAATCGAATTGTATTCCAGCTTTTGACATGTTTCTAGTCTTCTTGTCCAAGTAGAGCTCTGAGAATGGCATTGGAGATTTCGTGGGGGCTCTTCGCGCAGGCAGCTTAAAGTCAGCATCCACGAAGATTGCCTCCGCTTCAATGAGTTGTGCCTTACACATCGGGGCCACCACCTACTATTTTGCAGGGTTTGGGCATGTACAGTTTCATGTCGTTTTTGGACGGTAGTTCAGGCAGAGAGTACCAGCAGGGTCACCGTTGAACACTGCAGGTGACATCCGTGCCACATATACCCAGGCGCGACAAGCCGTTTCATGCGTAGATATGCTGCACACGCTTGCAGCACGACTGGTTCGGAGTGTTTGGTAGAGCTGCGAAACAAGATCAGTCGCGTCTCTGATGTCACTGTTTGCTTCAAGCATCCGAGGGCTTGCAACGTCACGGTTTAAGGTTTAGGTGTTAAGGGCTTCGGGTTTAGGGGTATGGCGGCATGCCCCGATACCGGATCGAGCGTCAAAAGACATGATGCCTAAACCCCCTGCTGTTCCGGAGTTCACTCCCTGGGACAAGCTCCGCGCTGCGGCAGGTGCTACGGTTTCAGTATCTCCAGAAGGAGGCCCTATGACTCTCAAGAATGGAGGGATCGTGGCAATTTGCAAGCTGTAATTCCAGAGGCTAGCCCTGCTGCGCCACCTGGGACACATGTTATGAACAATGGTGCAAGGCTAACAGCTTGTCAGCTCAGTCCACCTACATTATTGATTGTTTTCGGGTTGAGCAGATTGCAGAAAGCGCACCGACATGACAGGCCGAATTACACTAGGCATCGAAGCAATCAGACTAGGACTCAGGAGGCCGTGGAATCACCAACAAATCGTTCGGACACCTTCATCACCGCAGTAGTTAGTACAATCGCCTTTAGAGGCCTTCAGTTCATGATTGTAGATGCTGACAGTCTGAGACGAAAGTAGTCTGGGGCGGCTTCCCCTCTAGTCCATATGGGCGCCATCCCTCGCATCCTACACGAAGCGCAGAGTCGGGCATCACACGAAACCCCAACCGAGTCTGGCACAGGTCGACCTGGAGATTGAACGGCGGGAGGCACGGAAAGAGAAGCAGGCACGAGATATGTCTTACTGGTTGCTTTGAGTAGCTGTTGCTTGTGCTGTGCTTGGGCTGACTTTGCGATCATACATCCTCAATAGCACTCCCGCTGCTTGTGCGTAGACAGCTGCGCAACTCAGCCTACCCTGAAACCCTGCAACATCGGCAGCCAGTCGAAGGTTTCCCCCGAGGGGTCAAGAGCAGTTCTTGCATGTGCCTGCCGACAACAGCAAGATGTCCAACCCTGAACCTTGTAGGGTTTTTTGGCGCTTCAGATTCCTGAGGTAAAAAAACAAGTCCGATTGGACATCTCTGGGCCAGATTCGATGTCCCTGTTTCCTTGTCGGTGCATACTCCAGGCTGTCGTTAGTTGATTCGCGCTGGGATGGCGTGTGCGAGTTACGAGAATCCACAAACACCCAAAAGTAACAATTCCGAGCTGCGGGTGGTAAAAGGAGCCTTTCATTAAGCCTTGAAGAACCCGTAAAGAACTCCTACGGCCCTCCCTTACTTATAGACCCGTAGTGAACCTTGCGAACCGTCTGTGGTGACCCTGTAGTACCCTTGCAGAACCCCTAAAGGAAGCCTATCGTACCCTTATATGGAACCCGTAAAGGAACCCTTACAGCACCCTTAAACGAACCGTTTAAAGGAACCAACCCTAAACCCTAAGCCCTTTACAGGGACCCCTATACACCCCTTAATGGGACCCAAATTAGTTTGGTCTCTCCTCCTTTGGGACCCGCTTCCTCGCGCTTTTTCAGGCAGAGGCCAAGGCGATGAAGCCCCCTCGCAGCGATTCAGAGGTTTAGGGGGTTTATAGGGTTTAGGGCATGATGGGTTTAGAGTTTATATTTAGGGTGGTGGATCCTTGGCAACAGGTCGCAGGGTCGTGTTCTGACAACCAGCAAGGCCAGTTTGAAAAAGGGCTTAGGGCTTGGCGGGTCGAGGGTTTTGAGGTTTAGGGTTTGATGGGTTTAGAGTGTAGGGTTAGGGATGTGCATGCCACGTAAAGTGATGCAGCCATCTGAATCAAATATTCATACATATACTTAACTGTACATATACACGTACATACATACATGCATACATACATACATACATACATACGTACATACATACATACATACATACATACATACATACATACATTTCCCGTGCAATCGGTGCATACCGTTTCCACGAGATACATAGCCATAGCGTGCAGATGTAACAGGGCATGCCTGCAAGCATGGCATGGCATGGCACGGTATGGGTTTATATACGTATGTATATATGTATGTATGTATGTATGCATGTAGGTGGGTG